CCAAGAGAGAATACAAAGGAGCAAAATCAGGCCACCGTGACCACACGTACACTCTCCTGAAACGGAGGGGGAGGATCTTTAGCTGATGCGTGTGCAAACGATTATATTGAAAATGTGCCATTCAACATTGCTTCCCATACACCAGTCTTCCTGGGCATCTGAATAATTGCTTTTCTAGGGTGCAGATCCCAGGAAGTCATATGTGTCTTTATAACCTGGTTTCTATAGTAGGTGTCCTGAGTTTGGTTTCCAAGGTTAAAATCTCACTTTCCTGTGCATATCACACTTCCAGGTGCAACAAGCAATAAGGACACCCAAGACATCCTCTATGCCCGACAGAAAATTGTCGTCATAGCGAAGGCCTTTGGCATACAAGCCATAGATCTTGTATACATTGACTTCCGGGATGGAGATGGACTTCTCAAACAGTCAAAAGAAGCTGCCGCTATGGGCTTCACTGGTACGATTCTTGGTGCTGTCTTAAAAAGTGTGTATATTATCAGGCATCCCAGAAAGAAAAAAAAAAAAATGTCTACTCACCCCATGACCAGTAACACCAGATGGCTATTACCTGGGTTGGTGGGTGGCTCTCTCTCTCTCTCTCTCTCTCTCTCTCTCTCTCTCTCTCTCTCTCTCTCTCTCTCTCTCTCTCTCTCTCTCTCTCTCTCTCTCACACACACACACACACACTCTCTCTCTCTCTCTCTCTCTCTCTCTTCTTTCCCTCTCTTTTTTGTCTCTGCAAATTACAAAACATAGCACTTGTTTGAATTTTTCTTTATAGTCATTGCTTCCCCCCCAACCTGTCTTATTAAGTATTTCTGTATAGTTTGAGCTGCCCCAGGCAAGGGATGAGGTTACTATGGGAGGATTTCAGAGTGAATAACTATCAGAATTTAGATTGATGAGGCATAAAAAATGTTACTAAAATAGTTGAGGTATTAATTTTTAATTGATGATACTGCCTGTGATTTAATTTTTACTCATAAGTATTTTGTAAATTATTTGGCCACTTCATGCCCCTCTTTTCTCCCACTAAGAGTCTGTGTACCTGCTGACACCTATGGGTACTGGCTGGCACTGGGTCCCTGAGTCCTTCACAGGCCTGTATGGGGTGCATGCAGGCAGCTGACAGTCATCAATGTGTTCATCCTTCTGTCCCCATGAGTCCAGGGAACAACTGAAAGTCATGTTTTCCAACAACAGAACTCTGTCTTTTGAAAATCCCTAATGGAATCTCCTACACAAATAATTCTGTGCGGTTGTATACTAATGTGGACCTGAGTGTTCACACACACACACACACACACACACACACACACACACACACAGAGAGAGAGAGAGAGAGAGAGAGAGAGAGAGAGAGGGCGAGAGGAAGGCGTTTATCCTTATGGTGAAAGTGCTAAGATCGATAGCTATAAACATACCCAGCAAGGAGGAGGAAGGAAAGTAGGCAGGCATGAAGGAAGGGAAGAAGGAAGGAAGGAAAGACTGGAGGGAGGGAGGAAGGAAAGAAGGAAGGATGCAAGGATGTTATCCCTTTCAAAAAATATTTTGATACTATACCTAGTCAGAATTTAGCTGAAAGCCTCATAAAATTCCTTGAGATGAAAAGGGTTTACTAGCAGAGGATGACTTATCCTGAAACAAAATGGAAAGACTTAAAATAATAGTACAGTTATCTCAGAATGAAATAACCCTGTCTTTTGTATATAGCAGAACACTAAAATAAATGTGAATGCCCAATTTTTTAAGCTTGAAAACATATGCCCATGCATAGAAATGTTGCTCAATGATTTGAACTATTAGTAGTTTCTCCTTATATTTAATAGGGACTGAGAGAGAAAGAAACCACCCTATTATTCGGTGCGTGCGAAATGCCTGTCCTTGCTTCCTTTAGTGGCCAGTTAGGATGTGGCCCAAATGGGAAAGTTGGGGAAAAGAAAAAAAAAAAAACTAGAAATCTATCTAATAGACCCTGATATTGTTGGCCTATAACATGTGGCATTGGCTGCCAGGCAGCCAGATGTTGCTCTGAAAGAGCTCCCTGGCCTCAGCCACCAGCCCTTCATGTTCTGGGGTTGATGTTTTTCCAGCTTCCTCTGGGGCTTAAAGGTTTCTCAAGATACAGAACTGAATTAAATTGGTCCCCAATTCAATCTCAAAAGACAAGCTATTTCAAATCCGGTTTAAATGTCTAGACTGTGCCCAGCTCAGCACGAAGAACTTATGGACCTGGCACCATTGTCTCCGCCCGATGGGGAGCATTAAATCACAGGAAGATGGAGGCCAGGGTGCAGGGAGGCACCGAGGGCACAGTGCCCATTGTGCATCCAAGTGACAGAAGCTGTAAGCTGGGGGCCACACGCCACACATACTTACTGATTTCGAGAGAAAGGGTCTTTGTTGTCACAACTATATTTCTACACACTAATAAAAGGTAGTCAGAAAAGACTATGGACAGCATTTTTTAAACTCGTGCTCTCATTGAATTCTCTATGCTACTCATTAACTTAGTTTTTGGAATTTAATTGTGATACCTTAAGCCTTGTATAAGAAAGGGGACAAAATAACCAGAAGATGAAAGGGGGGGAGGAGAGAAGACAAAATATTGTCACCAACTGTACAACACTTGTCTGAAGCAGGTGGTCGAAGGACGTAAAAGTCAATGAAAGTTCTGTGCTTCTTACAGCACTGATAAAGACTAGGTTGTCTATACTTCAACACGAAAATTTAAATGTCTAAATACACATATTTAGTGGTATTTTATTAGAATATAACAAAATTATATCATTTCTCCCATTTCCTCTCTCCAAAAAAAGTTATCATCACACCAAACAGTGGGCTTGTTTTTTTGTTTTTTTGGTTTTGTTTTTTTGGCCATCATTACTGAGTGGGATCCCCACTCACATTAACTGATCTAAAATCAATCCGTTGACTGTATACATAGCCATTAACTTTAGGATTTTTTTTTAATAATAAAAAGACATCCAAACTAAAACTCGAGAGAAAGGTTTTCCCACTGCCTTAGCCGTTTCAGTTACTACAGCATTACATGCTGCAAGGCAAGATTATAAATATGAAAAGCAATATAGGTTTTTTCTTTTCTTTCTTTCTTTCTTTCTTTTTTTTTTTTTTTTGCAGTCTTTTGTAGAAGACAGAAATGACACCATCATACAGTTACCTAAAAGACTTGACAGGTATTGATTTAAAGCAAGATATATCAAGTGGTCCTGTAAAAAGGATCTCACGGTCATAAATTTTAATGCCGTCCAATTTTGCACCCTCTTGGTAACTTGTCAATAACAAGCCTTCTGGATAAAATATTTGCTTCGTTCCCACACGGCAGTAAAGCCTGTTATACAGTCATTGGAATGTGTACAGTGACAAAGAGTCCTTGGCATGAGAGTGTACGTAGATTTAGAAAACCCAACATATATCTTAGCAGTGGCCTATTACTAAAATATAGGCACTTCAGAGCTGTCGGGGAGATTTCACAAGAATCTAGCTAGCTAGTTATGTTTGCTCCTCACATTACAGTGCCTGTACCAAAAGTTTCCGTGAAATCCGCCTTTTTGCACAGCAGTGTAAATTATGTACATAAATTATAAAACCCAGGGCTAACAATTAGGAAATGACTACTGGGCACTGACAAGGTTTTTAAATAATATTATTACGACTATTAAATTAATTAAATGTGGAATCAATACCTACTATTTGAAAAGAGTTCACATTTGCAACTCCTATTATTTATCTCCAAAAATCAGTGTTCAAATAGTTTGAAGTGCCTTTATTTATATAGATTCCTAACATTTTCCTATTACACTGACAGGCAGAAATGAAATAATAATACAGAATGTTATAACTATGCCAGGGTCTAAAAAAATATTATCTAGTCACCTAAACTTCTTTTCTTAAAATACTATCAAAAAAGAAATTCCCTGTTTTACTATTTTTACAAACATTGTTTCTTTATCTATTCAACAGAATAAGGATAGCAAAAGGAACTGGTGTTTTCTAAAACATCTGAGCTGTAATTTGTTGTGGTTAAATATTGAAATAACTGTTTTGAAAAACAAAGCAAATTAATGTGGCAACAAATGTAGTTAGCAGCCATTAAGTGTACATCAACTGTAAAGAGGCAATTTATGTCTGTAACTTTATCATGTAATGCAATATAATCTCATCATTGTGACATTAAATTATATTGCATTTTATTAATGACCTGATTAAATACCATACTTCCCTGATTGTTCAATTGAGATTTTTTTTTACAATATTATAATTGTATAGAAACCTTTGAGGCCTGTGCATCGATGATACTTTTATTTAAAATCCTTAAACTTCAAAAAGAATCAAAGATTTTTTAAAAGATATTTCTGCATAGATGTGATTTCTTGTAATTTGAAGACAAACCAACTCTTATACTATTAATAAAAAAGAGAAGATTGAAATATATTTTTGGATAGGTCAATTTCTGTAATCTTTTTATTTAAAAAATTAAAATAATCTAGATGCCACAGTGTTCAAATCTGCCTTTGATTTTACAACTCTAGACATGTTTTCATTGAAATACACCTGTTAAAAATGACATGCTCAAAAATGAAATTAAATATACCATTTTAAGGTAGTATTTGGTATTAATATGGTCATAATATCTGTGGTGAGTTTAACAATTGGCATGTTGTTGGTATAAGAACTGCAGGAAGCAACACAATCCTCCCAAACAAGCAGCTTATACAATTCAAGATAATTCTCACTTAAATTCATTCTAACTTTAACTCAAAATAATGAGTAATTTATAGATATCCTCCAGTTAAACTCCCAGGCAAAGAAGTTCTTCAGCAAGCTCCCTCGTCCAGCCACCTGTAACCAAAGATGAGGTATTTTTCCTCTGAAGGGGCCCTTCCATAAATCTGGAGTGCTGTTGCTGCCATACTTGTATTTGTTCTTACGTGGTTTTCTGGAAAAGCCTGTCTGGGTGTGGGTTTTATTTTGTACTGTTTCCTTCTTCGGTGCCCACTCTGTGAGCACCAAGCAGGCTGTACTTGGTTTTGTGTGGTGTCTGTCATGGATGCTCCAGTGCAGTTACTCTCCTTGCAGGTAAACAGGTGATCCACCCTAACCAGATAGCTGTGGTACAAGAGCAGTTTACTCCAACCCTGGAAAAAATTCAATGGGCTGAAGAACTGATCGTTGCCTTTGCAGAGCACCAGCGACTGGGAAAGGTAAATGTCTTGTAAATGCCTCAGTGATGCTGCAGTTTAAAATACTATGAGCAAAATAATAATACCCTTTGAACTGCTTAAGGAAAACTCTCTGCTTTTGGCAGAAGAAAGGGAAAATGTGGGTTGAAAAATAAGATTTATCACTCAGAAAATCCCTGAAGGTAGATGCCATCCTTTCCCTAAATATCTCACTAATCTGATCCCCTCTCTCATGGCATCTTCTCTGTGAGCTGTGTTGGCAGCCTTAGAAAAAGCAAGTCTTGTTAGTTCCTCTGGTGTAGTCTTCGAAGCAGCACTTGTGTGAAAATAATTTCACTCAAAGCGAGAGTGCATCGTAACGAAATAAACACAATTTGACCACATGGTTCTTGTAGAGAAAATAAATAAATTTCAAGTTATTTTAATTGGGGAGGGGGTAAGAGGAAAAAAGCACTAATGTGTCCTCTGGTTTGATCATTCAGGAGTGGGAGGTTGTAGATGGATTTGTACCGATTTCTGGACCTGAGATTTGGAAAGAATGGAAGGCAAATTAACACCGAGTACGGTTGTTCTAATTTAGTGCTTCATTGAGCCTGGCGTTTCCCGCTCTGTGGGTTTCTGCTATGTAAATATTGCGGTGGTAATGCACAATCTGTCTCCACTTTGTGCCAGTAACACTTAAATTAGGTGTCGCCTGAAGGAAGATTCTATGCTAGTTGCAGCATTGTCAGTTAATTATCTTAAAGGTTATTTGCAATAATACCGTTTGCCTCTTTTTCAGAGGGATGGGGGAAAGTGCATTTATAAAACCTATCCTAGAGATAATCTCTCACTCACCTCAGCCCATGTCTTCTGTAAGGAATGGAGTAGTCACGTCTCCCATACAGAATTACTTAGGAATGAAAGAATGCTGAAAGATTAATAAGGTCCTAAATGTTAAATACTCATGCTTGTGAAAATAAATAAATAAATAAATGAAAAGGCATCGGAGAAGAAGCAAAAGCTGGTTTTCAGTGGCGGGCCTGGGACAGTCATGTGCAAAGTGTCCTTTGCACGTTCCCCAGTGCCAAGGACACCTGAAAATCTCAAGGCTTATACAAGTGGGTAACAATATTAAGTAGGTCGTTCCCTGTAGATAGCTGCTCTCAACCATGAACAGGCATATCCCCACCCTCCCCGCCACACACAGACTGACATTTGTACAGATTCACACTTAATATACAAAGCCAGAAGATCTACATAGGAATGAGCCCATTTGGACATCACACCAATTTTATGATACATAAATAACATTTTTTTTATTGCACATCAATGGTGGCCATCAAAAATATTCTGCATTTCACAGAAACATAATTTAAGTTGGCATTGTATTTTGTGTCTGTTTATATATATTTCAACCCACAATGAAGCTTGCCTGTAAATAAACATTTACACAGAAAGAAAAGATGCACACTTTCACTGACACAAGCATCTCCATCCATCTCTGTCCCACACACCTGCATACATGCACATGGGCACACACACACACACACACACACACACACACGCATACACACACCCACACACTCACAACTGAGCGCGGCCCCACACACACACACACACACACACACCACCGCACACACACACCCCACCCACACACCCCACACACATGCATCCACACCCATGTACACACACACACACACACACACCACACACACACACACATGCATCCACACCCATGCACACACATACACACACACATATACACACGCACACACACACACCACACACACACACACACACACCACACACACACACACATGCATCCACACCCATGCACACACATACACACACACATATACACACGCACACACACACACCACACACACACACACACACACCACCCACACACCGCAACACACACACGTGCCTTTTTCCTCAGTTCTGCCTTATGCCAGCTGACAATGTGCAGGCGATAACCACTTACTGAATCAGGAAACTGAGGCAGCATGGGTTCCCTTAAGATGGCAGACAGGTCCCACATGGGCTGGTTTTGCCTGGATGAAGCAGGCACGCGGTTTTCACCTGAATGACAAGGAGGCTGATACCTGGCCTTGCAGGTTATCCTCCACCCTCCATTTTACCAGCTCCCAAACAAAAGTCAGACCAGGAACACTCCTTTCCTGCCATTTAAGTTCCTGAACGAAGACTACAATCCCCCCGTCCATTATATCTTGAAAATATTATTCCTTAGGGAAATTTGCCCAAGACTTTGATAATGGCGATGTAAATGTTACGTTCTGGGCTTTTTTCTTTTCATTCTCTAAATTAAGAAGTGGCCCTCTTGTTGGGGTATAATTGGGGCATAAGCTTTCACAACAGTGTGGCAGGCCAGCTTTTCTTAACACAGAACCATAGAAATTGGAGCAGAGGGCCATTTCTTCCCTGTCCACTTTGTGGAGGTTTGTTTCCTACAGCAAATGGCCCTGGTGCTTTTTGTCCAGTGAGGTTTAAATGACTAAAGTAATGGAGCCTCCAGTAGGGACATATGGTTATTTTATCCAGTTAGCATGATTCTTTCACTGTGCCTATAAACTGGCTGGCCTCAAACACTGGGACTGCAGGTAGGTGCCTCTGGATCTTGATGGGTTCTTTCGATTTAAATAGTGTGGGCTCTTTTGGCAGAGATCTTATATAAATAAGAGCTCAGTCGTAGGAAGTATCACCTCCAACAAATATCTAATCTGTTTTAGTTCAAATGTGTGCCATTTATGAAAAATATGAACCCCTGGATATTTTGTCCAAGGCACAGATGACACCCAAGGATGGGAACGGATGGCTTGCATCCTGGTGGGGTGCTCATGAATTTCCCTGAGGCCTTGTCCCTCTCATCTGATGAAAATTTCATTTAATTAATTCCTTTAAGTAGCAACGGTCCAAGAAGGCAATGTGATGTAGCCTTGCCTTTTCTCCCACCCCCGTCTTCAATTACGTCGTTCTGCTTAGAGACCAAACCGTGGCTGAAGTTGGCAGTTAATACTGGGCCAGTTATGTTTTCTAAGGTGATAAACGATAATAGTGAAAGTCCTACCTTTTCTTCCTGGCTCTAACTGACAACACTCATGGGAAGGCTAAGTCCTGGGCAGGTGAGTTGTTGGGGCTCAGGCTTTGATCACTCAGGGTTCTTCTCTGTTAGAAGTTCCAAGGAAATTAAATCTAATGTGTCCAGTATGAGAACATGGGGAAAGCAATTTGCCTTAGAAAAATACTTAACCCACTAGTCCGTTAGTGTTTGACAGGTATGTTGAAGGAACCAGTTTTACCCGACAGAGCCCTCCTGATAATACGAACAGAAGCAATGGGCTGAAATTTGGAAACTTAGTGTGGTTTCTCTTAATAGAACCGATTAGAAAAAGCTTATTCAGCATAAGCTCTGCTCCTGTTTCAGTTCCCAGGAAGTAAAATATTTGTAATTTAACTGACATCGGTTACAAAGTGTCCCTTACTTTATTAACCAGACAGACTCACCCTGCACATCATTTGTTCAAGCTTCAAATTACTTGGTAAAATATTTAAGCTGGGATAAATCATGTTCACATTATTTGCTTCAAATGTATAAAGGGTCTTTAAGATTAGTTGCTTATATATATATATATTGTTTTAATGAAGAAACATGGCTTTCTTGTTTTGTTTTGTTTTTTTATCCACTAAGAATTTTATAGAATGTGAAAACTGGATAATTACAATGAGAGCTTCTCAAGTCATTAGTTATTGTTGGGATTAACAAAAACTGTTAATTACACAGAATTAAGTGCCTATAACATATGTATTAATACAATACATAAAAGCATGTTTGACCCTGTGTATTTTTTTACATCTGTATTATGATGTTGCTGCTAAGTCTTCTCCTTCCTTGCTTGTTAGGCAAAAATGACAGCTCAAGGAGACAGCTCATTGCTTTTTTAAAAAATGATAACTAATTAAAGGAAATTTTTTTTAAGTTGTAAAAGTATGGAATGCTTCAGGAATTTGTGTGTCATCTTAGTGCAAGGGCAATGTTAATCTCCTTTGTATCTTTACAATTTTAGTGTATGTACTACCAGAACACATATACTAAATCAAAGGAAATCTTAACATAAGAGCGTGAAAAAGTGTGGAGAACTAGCAAATGTACGCATGGTGTTCACGATGAGTTTTGGGGGTCCTTTGTTAGAATAGCCATGTTCTTGCAGTATCCGACTGCAAACCTGAGTTTTATTCAGTTTTCCAGGCAATCCCCCCTTAATCCCATCATTACCCTGAGAGCATCATGTTGGTTTGGAAGGATTTTGGTCAAACATTTTTTTAGTAGTTTTCATTCATTGCAGTGCCACAAGCTGACTAAGCGACAAGGGAGGGGGACCTTTCCTTCAAGATCTAGGTCCGATTAACAATCATAAAGGTTAAAGGCAAGGTCAGTAGTGACATAGGATTGTAAATATCACAGGTACCTGGAACAGCCCTGTTTCACTCGTGAAGGAGCAATAGTACAGACTAATGAGCTGACATGCATAAACACTTCCTACTCGGGGTTATCAATTACAAGAAATCTCTTACTAAAGCAGAAAGGAGAAGTTGGCCCCTTTTCATCTCAAAAGCCCCCAGCTATACTAAATCATCCCCTTCCAATTATAGAAAGCAAGTGATTTTGTAGGTATCGAAGCTCCACACCTTTATACTTCCAAATGTGAACCTTTACAAAAGAAATACCGTTCAATCCAGATGGCTCTCCTGAAGGCTCCCTGAGAGAACTCGGGAGAAATCTCTCCAGCCAAAAATATTGTTCCTTCTTGTTCAAGTGCCAGAAAGCCCACTGCCTCTCTTTCACACAGATCAAATAAACCGTCTAAAGATTTGCTTGTTGTCTTTGTCAGCTGAAAGAATTGAGCCACTAATAGATAACAGTGTGTCCCCATCCCACCACCCACAGCCTTTCCCGTCTATTTCCGAACAACAGTGAATCTGGGTGAAAATGAAAGATGGGGCAGAAACAGACTTCTGCGATGCCTGGTAACCATTTTTTCCCTTTGTGTCCCTGTTCACTTAGAGTTTTCAGAGCTATATGCTGTAATATTTACTCCAAAAACTCCAGCCCTTAGGAAATCTGAGTGTGCCAATGATAACTTTATGACAAATTTGATACACACTAAGTTGCAATTAAAAAAAGGGAAAGAACATTTAAAGCCTGGTAGTGGAATTCCCATGCTGCTCTTAACCAGACTTGTTTTTAGAGGCAAATGGCAAGTCCAGCATTAATGGATAAGATTTTGTTTTGTTTGTTTTGGTTTTCATTTTCATTTTTTCATAGGTTGTCTAGTAACTTTTTAAATTACTGGCTTCATCTTACGTATGATTCATTAAAGCCAATTCTTAAAGGTAGTATAATCAAAAAAGCTTTACTCTGTAGTGGTATTTCCCCCATCTGAAAGCTTTTTAAAATATTGTATAGTCAGACCTAAAACCCAAAAAATGTTTGGAAATCACTCACATTCAAGGTGGTTATAAAACTGTGACCACCATTCTTAAATAGAATAGTACAAATATGGTTTCTGCTGGGGTAACAGTGAATGCTCACACAAATGGCTAATCTGAGGGGTGTGTGTGTGTGTGTGTGTGTGTGTGTGTGTGTGTGTGTGTGTGTATGTGTGGTATATACATGTGTGTGGGGGTATTGTGCTGGTGTGCATACTAGTGTGTAGAGGTCACAGGTCAGTGTCAGGCATCATCCTTTCATTTTCTACCTTATTTTTTGAGAGGTATTTTATCACTGAGTCTGCAACTTGCCATTTTGCTAGACTAGCCAGCGACAGGACATCCCACACACACACACCAACGTCTTCCCAGCTCCGTCTCCCCAGCACTGGGGATACAGACATGTACAACACCCAGTTTTTATAGGAGTCTGGATTTAGTTCAGTAAAGATCTCACTTGCTGAACCATCTCCTCAGCCCCCAGATAGAATCTTAAACGATTGCCATTTTAATCAAAACATGAACAGGGCTAGTACAGATTTCTACGCAGACAGGTGTCTTCTGATCTTTTGTTTTTAATTTTGTTTATATTTGGCATATACCTGCACACTAGAAGAGAGCATCAGATCTTATTATAGATGGTTGTGGGTCACCACAGGTGCTGGAAATTGGACTGAGGTCCTCTGGAAGAGCAGCCAGTGCTCTTAACCTCTGAGCCATCTCTCCAGCCCCCAGCGATGGGCTTTTGATTGGCTCAGTTCACTCTAACCCAAACTCCACTCCACAGGCTCAAGGTAGACCAGAAAGGGTCAGAGTAAGGCTGGAAAAGCCTCATGTCACCCAAAGCTGAGTTTCATCACTCAGATGGTACACTCCCATCAAGGATACACGGGGCCAGGAAGGATTGTTTGGCACCTTGAACATTTGCTCTCTTTTCCCCCTCTAGGCTCTAGGTCTATAGACATGTCTGTGTGTTCTTCACCTTACCTCTCATCATTGCTATTCCCTGGCTTCCTCCTTTGTTTTTCCTCTTACTTCATGTCTCTGTCTGCATACCACCATCACCACCATCTGTAGCTGTCTCCTCTCCTTTAACTGCCTGCAGAAGTCTGAGGAATTCTTTAAACTGTTGGTGTTTTTAAGGCTTGTTTTTCATTATTTATATGGGGCCGGTGGTGAGTGCAGTGCCTGTGGAGGTTAGAGGCAGCAGGTGCCCTGGAACTGGAGTAAAAGGTTCTTGTGAACTGCTGGTGTGGGTGCTGGAAGCCAAACTCCGCCGTCTACAAGAGCACTTAAGAGGTCTTAGCTCTCCAGCCCTGGTTTTTGGTATCTTATGGTGGAACTTTTTCATTCTTGTTTACATTAAAAGCCAACAAATGGCATTGTATTTTATTAAAAATGAATCAATCATTTCTAGAATTCTCTATTTTTTCTACATTGGTGGGACTTGATGGGGAAAACATGGAACGGTTTCACTACCATCTTAGAGCAAAAAGAATTCTGTCTTCTGCATCCATGTCTCCTTGTAGCATGCTAGACAGAAATGGATGCTTATGACACCCTTAGGAAATGCTATTGAACCAACTTTCTTACGAAGTTTTAACTGTGTTGAAAAGAAATTGCTGGGTTTTTATTTTTGAGACAGGGCTTTTCTGTGTATCCCTGTCTGACCTAGAATTCACTATGATGAACAGGATGGCTTCAAACTAAAGTGAACCTCTGATTACAGGTGTGTGCCACCATGCCCTGCTGTTAATATCCATGATATTGACTTCTTGTGGTCTTCTATAAAAATTAAGACTATTTCCCTATCTGTTGTACTTTTAAAAAAGAAGTGCTGGGATTCTAATAATCTTAAATTATTTTTTAGTTCACGTTAGCTCATTTACATCTGATTTCAAAAAAAGGAATAATGCTAGGAGTTTAGCATCGTTGATCTTAGCTGTGCTTTGGGGTGATGTGGCGTTTGCTGTCTGGTGTTTCCATCAGCAATGTGGCTTATGTTTGACATGAGCTGTTAGTTGGTTGATTGAAGATGACCCTGAACTCTGGTCCTCCTGCTTTCACCTCCAGATTTACAGGGGTTCTAGTGGCCCTTGAACCTCAGGTCACACTCACCTCAGCTCTCCTGCTCATTTGCTTCAGCCTTTCCAACCTGGTGCCTTCCAAAGCCATCCTCCAGAATTGCTGCTTCTCTGACTTCTAACCCTTTCAATGAAGTCCTGAGTTGGTCTTGACGAGGATGACATGTGGATGTTTGCTTTGTTTTGTTTTCTGCGTAGAGTGAGAACTGAGTAATTTTGTGTTTCTTTTTTACAAAATTAAGGTGAACATTGTCCGTTCATTCACCCTCTGTCTGTTGCCCCTCCACATTCTTGGAATTGACCCTGTTTTGGCCATTTGTCATCATTTTGATTCTGGCTATTCGGTGAGCATTTTCTCTACCTTTCTAAATTTTCTCTGTCTTCCAGCTGATGCTCTGTCAAATATCTAGCACTCCTGTATCTAGTTTCTTTTCTTTCTTCTTTTTTTCCCTAAAATGAATGATGCATCTGCTTCTATATCTGCACACCACAAGAGTGCACCAGATCCATGGTACTTCAGTTATAGACAGTTGTGAGCTGCATGTGGGTGCTGGGTGAGAATTGAACCCAGGACCTCTGGAAGAGAAGCCAGTGCTCTTAACTTCTAAGCCATCTCTTCAAGCCCTGAATCTAGTTTCCTAAAGAGACAGCTATGTTTAAAAACTGTGTGTGTGTGGGGGGGGGCATTACAGGGGACAGGGGGTCCAACAGGCATCTGCCTCTATTCTTATTACCAATGCTGATATCTCTCAGCCTATTAAAGCCATTCTGAAATCCAACACAGTTACATGTCAGATGTTCTCTCCTCCTTATGGGAGCTTTTGATGGCAAATGTAGTTAAGTGTCTTTGACCAGGCCAGGGAAACAGACAGCTCAATGGGTAAAGGTGTTTGGCTCCAATTGACAAGCTGTGTTCAATCCTTGGGACACACACTGGAGAAGGAGAGAACTGGCTTCTGAAAATTGTACTCTGACCTCCCCATGTCTATGGTGGCACTCCCATGCCCCTCCAAATAAGTCTTAAAAATGTTTTTGTAAAAGGATCTTTGACTAACGCTATCAGTAACAACACAAGTAGCTTTGTGACAGTTATAATCATGGTATCCGTGACCCTGGTGGTACAATAGCAATGACCTGCCACTACAGAGGTGATTCGGGGCAGTGGTGATACTGCTAACAGAGAGCCTGGCAGGCCACTGTACGCATTCTTTAATCTTTACAACCTTACGGGCAAAGTTGAGAGATGAAGAATGGAGTCTGGCTTGGTACTTGCATTTGTCAGGGATTCGTGCAAAGAGATGAGGCACCTGTGGATTCAAGTACAGATATGGCCCTAACTTCTACAACAAGTGGCCTTAAAGGGGGAAACCCCAGAAAATCAGGGACCTTTCCCCCTGTGAGTGATAGCAGCAGGCTAGGCATTACTACTGAAATGTGTCCACCATAGGTCATGTTCTCTCTGTTTGGGGGATAGCCCTAGAGGGACTCTGGTGCACATACCCAGAACCCTGTC